ATTCAAAGAACTGTTGATTCAGTTCAGTTCTATTCAAAGAACTGTTGGTTCAGTTCAGTTCTATTCAAAAGAACTGTTAATACAGTTCCTAAGAACGGAACTAATATGGAACTGTCCTACCCCTAATTACAAGTGATACAAGATTGATTATTATTAATTGTATTTATTTTACGGTAAATACTAGTGTTTTTTTATTCAAGTTAAAAATTTGTTGAATTATAGGGTACGTGGGTAAACGAATTTCGTGAACATTTAACAAATAAACACGCTGATTTTCATGAAGCTAATGGAAAGATTTCCAAAGTGAAACTAATGCATAAGAGAGATACATATGCTTATGCTAAAAATAAGGATTTAGGTGTACAAATTGTTCATTTACCTTATGAAAGTGATAGTAGAGATGTTCAATTTGTTTTTACTGTTATTTTACCAAAACAAGGTGTGTCATTATCTGATGTGGAAAAAAAATTAATATCAAAACCTGCTTTAATGCAAGATGTTTTAAATCCTCAAAGTACAACAGAACAAAAACTTCTTTTATATTTACCAAAATTTAAAATGGAAGCAACATTAACTTTAAATGATGTTCTTAAACAACTTGGGATACAAGATGCATTTGATCCAGGTAATGCCGATTTTACTGGTATTGCTAGTAAACAAGATGATGTGAATGGTCTTTACATCACCAAAATAGATAATTGATTAATACAGAAGAAAGATTTATTTAATATAAATATTTTAGGTTGTTCATAAAGCATTTTTTGATGTAAACGAAAAAGGTAAGCTTATCTATTTTTAATCATATAGATAACAATAAAATAAGCTCTGAAATTCGAATGATATGTTAATCAATCACTCAAACTCTGTTTGTGTTTGTTAAATTCTTTCGTATCATTGAAATTGAATATTGTTCGAGGTTTGTATTCTGAAAAGGAAACATCGAGCGACATTAGATACCAAATCCATTGAATTTAAAGTTGGTCATCTATTTCTATGTATGATTCGAGAATGTCGTTAAAATATAACTATATTTTCTGGAAAATATCTATCATCACAAAGATTATAATGTTATTTTCTTGACTACGAAATGAAATCCTTTTTATCGTCTGAAAATTTGCCTTTCATAAGATTTTATAGTTAATAAACGTAATTCGATAAAAATTTATTATAAATTTTTTTATTTAAATTAGGTTCAGAAGCTGCTGCTGCTACTGATTGGTTTTCGGGGTTTACGGGGGGAATGATTGGCCAAAATCCTGATCCGATCATATTCAAAGCTGATCGACCATTTTTATTTTATATACGAGAAATAAAACAAAATCTCACATTGTTTACCGGCAAATTTGTCACATGCACAAATACATCATCCTAATATATACTGCGATATTTATTTAACTAAGAAAAAGCTTTAATAAATTAGCTAAGAAAACATTATCGTAAATAGAATTCATGCTTTTTACATAACACAATGTATTTATAATGCGCAAGATTGTAATACATATAGCTTCTTTTCAATGGTTTCGTTAATAATGTTCATTTATATGTTGTATTAAGCTGATGACATTCAACCTGATATTGATTATTCGAAATCAATTTTAAGAGAAAACTTAAACAATTTTATTCCTGATCTTGGATATTTATTTCAGCGGTACTTCTTACTTATCTATTTTCATCTAATAAATCTTCTTGTATGAATATTATTTTGTCAACACATATTTTGAAATATGAAGAGAACTTTGATTGAACAAAAATAACATTAATTTTTATGGTACTGTGTATGCATTGATAAATCAACACATCATAGTAGAATGCGATCAAATGAATATCCTAACATTTATACTACCGATAACGTTAGTTGAAGAAGATCTCAAAAGTAAACAGCTTTTGTATTCCAGGTGAAAATAATCTACATAAGTCTAGTGTCATATAAAACACTCTGGAATTCGTCGAAATTCAGACTTCGGGAAACAATCTCTGTATAAAAGACTAAAATAAAACGTTGCATTTGTTGAAAAAGACACGAAATGGATAAATTTAGAAATAGGACAGAATTGATTGGAGGAAAACTTTGTATGAATTATAATTTTTACAAATTGAAAATCGAATATAACAAATAAGTAAGAATAAAACTAGTATATTTTATCAGTACTCAATATTAGATATAACTGTGAAAATAATATCTTTCTTCATAACTTAAATAGGTAGATAAATACTATTCATCTTTCTCTCGTATTACAAAATGAACTTAGTCATTTCATTATTTATTCAGATTTTTTTGTCTTTTACATGACGAAAAAAAAGAAATTAGTTAAACATTATGTCAATTTTTAATTATACAATTAATTGCCGTTCAGTTGTACCATTTGAACTTGACCGAATTGACAATCTATCTTTACCAACACTTTCATTTATAATTTGCCGGTAACGTTTGTCCAATTCTTTCATTTGCTTTTTTCGAGAAATTGGTACATAGTAATACCAAATACCCATTGCTACATGTACAATAGTATAAAGGCTAACAAGAGCAAAAAATATTCTTCTATCAATCCAAATCCAATAAGAATCTGATTTTAAATTAACATGTTCATCATAAATAAAAATAAGTGTACCAATAATCGAATGCCAAACACATAAAATAATTAAGACAAAAATAGATACAATTGCATATAAATCAATTAATGTCAAATAGGAAATATTTGGCTAATAAATACAAAAATAATAACTTAAAAAATAAATATAATTAATGCGATTTTTACCAAAGCATTACTAATTGTCCATCGAAATGCAATTGATGTAAGAAGAAGTGTACATGATATAGCAATTCGAAATTGAACACCACTAATTTATTTGAAGAAAAAACTATTAAATTATAGACAAACATCAGATTTTATACTTAGGTGGAATAGCAAATGAACTAAAACATATGATTGTAATTAAAAATACAAGACAATAACCATTCCAAAAGAAATAATCAGCACGACGAGCTAAACAGGAAAATAAAAACCACTCAATTTGTTAGAGATAAATAGTCTTTTATCATACCCGCATGACATGCAATAGTTAAAATTGAACGTTTACGTTCATGTCCTGGGGTATCTAATGAATAATCTTCATCATTTTGAAACAGAAATCCTTTGATGAATTTAGTTCGAGTTTGAATATGATCATATAATTTCCATTCTTGTTGATCGAAAAATGCTTCACGATTAATACCTGATGGTCGATTTGAATCAGTTTGTAATGTAACTTCAGAATCAAATAATGCTGATCCAATTGATATGCTTAATTCTTGTATATCAGTTGGAAAATGATGTAAATCAAATTTGGAATGAAAACTTGCATTAACATCACGAAATTCACATATTTGTATTTGAGAATTCGATTTTTTTATTGTATATTTAATTACTTCTTTACAATCTTGACCAATATTAAGTAAAAATAGTTGTGGATGCCAATTATTTTCAGGAAAATCTTTTGAAAGTTTAATAATTTCTCCATTATTTAATCGAATTTGATCATCATTTGAAAGTGTAGAAAGAATTTTATTTTCATCATCATCATCATCAGAATTTAAAAACCAACGAGCTTCAATAGCTACATGAGCTTGAAATTTCTCTGCTCTCGTATCAAGTTCACCTACAATGAAATTTTATGAGAAATAAAAAATTTAATTTGAAAAAATAATAACATACCTATTCGAAGAAAAATAAGACGTACAAATACATGAGTAGAATTATTGCCTTCTTCATATTCATTTAAAATATGAATATTACGAATAGCTATAAATATATATAAACAAATTATTCATTTAGTATTTCTCTTGTTTTTGTAACATATATACATATAAACAGAGATTAATGAGTGTTTT